CCTCAACACCACATCACTCACACTCCCATACTGCCTTTAGCGCGAACTAACAATAACACTTCACACATACTCATACGTGTCATACCATCACTATCTCTGCATCTATTCGCTCTGTCAACGTGTGGTTTATCTTTATCTGTTGTTCTAATATGGAGAAAATGTTTCAAATGAGACGGTCAAAGTGTTAAGAGACCGTTGTTAGAGAGATTCAGTAAAGCAGTGTCTTTGAACTCCACACAACTTAAAGTGGGTCTCTCTCTCTCTCTCTCTCTCTCTCTCTCTCTCTCTCTCTCTCTCTCTCTCACACACTCTCTCACACACTCTCTCACACACTCTCTCACACACTCTCTCACACACTCTCTCACACACACACACACACACACACACACAAACACTACATTATGTGTCAGTTCACACTGTTGAGAAAACGACAAACATTCTGGCCAGAAGCCTGGTCACTGTGTGTGTGTGTGTGTGTGTGTGTGTGTGTGTGTGTGTGTGTGTTTGTGTGTGTGTGTGTGTGTGTGTGTTTGTGCCAGCTGGTTACATCTGGTTGAAGAGGCCACAGAGGGAGGTTGCTTTCTCCCACCTCTCAGTATCAGTTACTAATCCCTGTTTCCCACAAGTGTGCTGTATGTGTGTGTGTGTGTGTGTGTGTGTGTGTGTGTGTGTGTGTGTGTGTGTGTGTGTGTGTGTGTGTGTGTGTGTGTGTGTGTGTGTGTGTGTGTGTGAGAGATACAGTTATTGCAACAGCAAACATTACCTTGAAATTATAATTTTAAAACTATAAGATGAAGACAATATTGAGATATTTTTTTTTAATTACAGGCAAAAACATTGTTTTTTCATGTTTTATTAGTGTTGTCTTATTTGACAACACTAATTTGCATGTGTAGCTTTCTAAAGATCTTCTAAATTCACTAAAAGTTGGCTTTAGATAAAACATACAGGGTTAGATACACACTGTCCTCTCGTCCTTTTTCCACACCTGTTAGCTGCTCAGTTTCCCCCTCAGCTCCTCACCTGAACCAATCATCTGCCCTCGAGCTGCTGCTGCTTATTCACATGTAGGCAGTCTCATGCATTAATATTCAAATACTTTGTCTCTTATTACTCAGCATAGTCAGTAAAACTGTCACGTCATGGTAGGAAAAGCACAGGTCTAATTAATAACTTGATGAAGTGACTCGATGCTCATACTGGAGCAGTAATCAGTGTTTCTAGTTACACCTGTGCTTTTTCTGATATGTTTTCCAGTATATAATTAGATTAGATTTGTACCGTGTTTTAATTTAATTTGTATTTTAGCTTGTCTTAGAAAGATGTATCTCCTCAGTTAGGTTGTGAGCCACGATATATTGAATTAAATATATTTAAAAATAGTGATTTGATTTAGTAGAGGCCTCAAACTGAAATTGATAATCCAAAAATAGCTATTAAGAGGTGTTACTATTATCTGAAATATTTTGTAAACACTGTAATTAACTGAGCAAGTACTAAATAAATAAATAGAGACATGACATATCGTGTTTATTCATAAGTACAGTGATGGGATCGGGATGTGAAAATGTGGAGGATGTTGACCTTGATGGTGTTTTTGGTGTTAACTTCAGTAATGTGTTTATGTGGACGTCAGCAGGAGCTGTCCACAGCAGAGATGTATGTTGAGGAGTGATCTTTGTGTGTCAGAGTTTCTCAACTGTGCACATGCCACATGACACACTCTGTGAACTTTGAACACGCATGCAAACACACACACACATCACGTCACCAGGTTATTCAAATAGACATCCTGTAGATGTGATGAGCTGTGACAGGAGATGAAGGACAGTGGCAGAGAGAGGGGAGCAGAGGAAATGTTTAACAGGAAAATACAGTAAAAAGTAACCAAAGACTGATAAGAAAAGGAAAGTAAAGAGGGAAAAAGTGTGTTTGTACCAGAGTTGAGTCAGAGATAAAGCACATCCAGCAAAGATTACAAGAGTATGTGTCAGTCTGTTGGAATCTGTTCAGTAAACTGTGTGTGTGTGTGTGTGTGTGTGTGTGTGTGTGTGTGTGTGTGTGTGTGTGTGTGTGTGTGTGTGTGTGTGTGTGTGTGTGTGTGTGTGTGTGTGTGTGTGTGTGTGTGTGTGTGTGTGTGAACTTGTGTTTACCACATTGTGGGGGAGAACATCTCTTCACACACTCTCACACTTTCAGGACTTGCCTCCCAATACAGGTTTAAGAGTTAAAGCAGCAGTTCACCCCGACAATCTGAAATATGTATGTTAATATGTACTTTACCTTTCAAGCTATATATCAATCGAAATTGTGTGTTGTAGTTTTGGAGAATTATGTGGTAGATGTCTGCCTTGTCTTGAATATAATGGAACTAGATGTTACTTGGCTTGTGGTGCTTAAAGCGCAAAAACGAATAATTTGACAAACTCTACGGTGACGTCTCTGTCCAGAAATCATGACCTCAAATAATCCAGACCTCTGTTGTCAGCAGGTTAATCTATTTTCTTTCTAAGAAACAACAACCACGACCCCTATCAATGCACAGAGGGAATGCTCGTGCTTGTGTGAGCATGAGATGAAAAGTACAGAAGCTGTCTGTCACCATGAGAGAATTTATCTGTGTCTTTCTCTCTCCTGCTTACCGGCTGTTGCCCCTTCTATAGCTTTTTTCTTAACTTTTTCTTACCCAAAGACACACACACACACACACACACACACACACACACACACACACACACACACACACACACACACACACACACACACACACACACACACACACACACACACACACACACACACACACACACACACACACACACACAGCAGCTGTCTACACACACATTGATTGGGTTTATAGCTTGTTAGGAAAGGGGATATTGTATTTCAGCTCTGCTCGTTAAGAGTCAGCACTGATGTCACTCTGGCCCCTCTTTATGTTATGTAACACACACACACACACACACACACACACACACACACACACACACACACACACACACACACACACACACAAAGAGAGAGAGGCTATAACATTATAAAATGGGCTGGAACAAAGCTTCAGTCGCCTTGAGTTCTGGCAGCTCTCTGTGTGCACATGTGGCTGTACCATTTCGCAATAACAAGTTACAAATAAAATACATTTATCTAGACGTTTTGATCCTATCTTCCCTCTCCCATGTACTAAAAAATACCGTAATTATACTGTATGTAACAAACAAGGCTATCTCTCTGCATTTCTGCATTTTCCATCCTTGTTTCTCCATAATGTGAATGCCTTCATGATAATATAACACTTACTTAATTAAGTAAATGTGTTTAAAATAAGCTGCTACATGATAAATCACTGGATATTATTTCGCAATTATGAATATTACTAAAAGCATCTTACAGGCATCAGAGCAGATGTGTCTTTCTGAATGAGTTCAAGCCTTAACAACATGATATCGTGATATTATGAGCGCTCTGGAAACCATTTTGAACTTGAACTACCTCAAAGATTGTTGGGCCTGATTTCATATAAAGATCAGAAAACTACTCACATTTCAACTGTTATGTTGGTGCTACCTGTGTTTACAGTTTGTGAGGTGTGATTACATGTTCCATTATAAGGCCTGGTTAGATTAACACCCCTTTTAGGATAACATTTCATTAGAGTCTACATAAATATTGACTGTTTCAACATCATTACTTGTTACAGGCCGTGTGAGGTTCGCTAAATAAAAAGGATAAAATCAAAGCTGAAAATCTGACTTGAGACCAAAACAATAAAACAAATGTTGTGCACTCTTAAAGTCTTTCTGGTTTGGTTTTCCAGCAGATTTTCATTTCATGATTGTTAATGAATGGTTGTTATTGTAAAAGGGAATGATGTGTATGAGTCAGTGTGAGAACAACAGCAGAACATCAGTAAATGGGACCTGGCACAGCTTCAGTCACAGAGCAGTGATGTAACCAGGACACAGTCGGCCTCCTCATTATGTGCTCACACTGTGTGTTGTCAGGTAGAGGAAAGCTGTGTTTCCCAGACAGAGTGAAGTCAGGGCATGACCCCACGAACAGCGAGACAAACCAAATGTCACATGGCAGCCTTCAAAATAAAGCTCTTGCATAACCATGAGGGCCTGGAAGCAGAGAGTCTGTTTATAAAAATCCAGTCTGAAGTTAGAGGTCTTTCTGTGAGCGTCTCTGTGTGTGTGTGTGTGTGTGTGTGTGTGTGTGTGTGTGTGTGTCTGCATAACCCCAATCATGGCTCACATCTTATCCCCTCTCCTCTGATGTGCATCAGCTGAGCGTAGCATGGTTGTTGCATTCTGTTATCACAAAGTTCAAAGTTAAATTCCAAAACATTACTGTAGCCACAACATCATTAAAAAACATGTTCAATTTGGTGCCCAAAAAACAACAAGAAGCATGTGTTGTCTTAAAAAATGGAGTTGAGGGCCTGTTTTACAGTATGTGTGTTTAACTTAGAGCTGCAATGAAAATAAGGATTACCGTTTTGACATTTAAGTTATTTTTCATGCAAACATGGCAGAAAATGCTGTTTTCAGCCTCTTAAATACGGAGATTTCCTGCTTTTCTCTGTTTAATATCATGCAAAACTTGTTGATTTTAGACTGACAGAATAAGAAAAAATCACCTTGAAGATTGAGAAACTAGGATGGACTTTTTAACCCCTTTTTTCTGACATTTTGTATTGATTGATTGATTGATCTAAAGTAATTAGTTGTGATTTGCAGCCCTGTATCTGATACCTACCATCCTGACCATTACCTGACTCTCTTTCAGGTATAATTTGTAAAACTCTGTTGATGAGGAAACAGTACAATGTGCACAAATGATATAGACTCTGTACAAATGCATTCCCAAAAAACGAAACAAAATACATATTCTCTTTTACAGCCTGTGGGCTGTCACAGGGAGTTATATTTAAACACACACACATTCCCCAGTCCCGCCACGAGCACACAGCCTCAAAAACAACAAAACACAGCATGTATTATATCAAATATTCTTTATTTCTCAGGGTATAAAACTTCTGTACAAACATTTCTTTCTCTGACTGACGTCCTTGGTGACACAGAGAATTCAGTGTCAGCAGATCGCAGCAGCATGCTTTCTGTTTTTAAATGTCTCTGTTACAATGTTTTTACATGCAGGAGAAAGGATGTTTCACACAGGCTGAGGGAAGCTCCTGGTGTCTCATGTGAGTGAGCTCAGGTGTGCTTCAGGGGGTAACCTCAATAAAACCCTGAAATCTCAAGAATGAACCTTTCTGTCTGTTTCCCCGGGCGGTCTGCTTTTTGTTTTACCTCACTGGACTTTATGGGATATTGTTGTACAATTAGACTTGTGTGGGAAGGCAGTGTTGAGAAAAACGAATGCAGTTACGGTAATCCCAGGTCAGTCACGCAAAGCAACAATTTAATTTGTATTTTATTGGTAGATTTCTACACCCTTTTGTATCACAAAAAACGGAAATCATTGCAGTCATACCTATATTTGACAGACTTTGCATCCGTCCCAAACACAGAGCATTCACATTTCTGTCTATCCTTCAACCAAACCCCAGAACCAACACATAACTCCTATCCAGTCACCTTCCTGTCTCTTTTCTGACTCTCTTTTAACACCTCAGTTCACTTTCAGAGACCTATCTGTTCAACATTACAAAGCCATTCATCTGTCATACAGGGTATACTTTGCTTTTAGCCTATTCTGGCTCCTGAAAGCAGGTAAAACATTCAAATGAATAAAACACGCAAGCAAAGACTTCAAAAATAAAATGTTTGATTCGAACATTGAAATGCAGACCTTCTTATCAGCATACTTTGTTTTGCTACTAGCGTGACTTTGTGTGGTTCAACCAGTAGCTATCAGTGAGGGAAATGATGACTCTTCTCAACTCATGTTACTATTCACATTTTGGTACATAACATTATCATTTGTGGCCAGAGTTGACGGCATGAACGCACTTTAAAGGCTTATAGTATATTTCGTTTTCATAATTTTTCAGTTTTAATGTATTCAAGCAGGAGTAATCAAACAAATATTTGTCTCAAAATAAAGGCAGGCTTGAACCACATGCATGCAAACAAACACCTTGTGATATGAAACGTTCTGTACTCTCCATAGATTATACATACTGTATGAGAAGGTAAAACGGATGAGACCTGCTAGAGGAAATGCCAGCTATCATAAGGGTCTGTCTGACCTTTACCCTACTTAAATCCACCATCAACCAAGCCTGCACCCAAACAGCAAGACAAGCAACTTATTATGACGTTTTTCCCAAGCAAGAAACAATGCATTTGCTATCATGAGTAAAACATCGGGACACAGTGAACCCATTCATCCACAGTTGTAAAATCTTCAGCAGAAAGTTACCAAACAGCTTCAGGAAACACACTTCTTCAACGTTTTGCACTCAGGCCTCTCATCAACATTATGAGTTAAAATACATTTTAGAATAAGTTCTCAACTCTCTCTATGCATTGGTTTACAGGTTGTAGCCAATTAGTAGAGCAACCGTAAGGTCAGTTAGGGTCACACACTGAGTTTCTCTGCAGAAGAGTCTATTGGGAGACACACTTGAAGTTATAGTCAGTGTTACCAGTAAGAAACGTTTTACAGAAGTCAATAGAGTCATGCATATTGTCTGCTATGATTGTACATGTTCTAGCTGTCTTGTAACACTTGAAACATGGCATGACTGCCAATCTGTGAACGTTTTGTTTGTAAGTTTTAAGACATTTCTTCACAGTGCAATTACATTTAAAAGCACTTCACAGCTCACTCCATTTCACACTACACTCTAGAAAAAGCTAATGCTATTCCGCTTCTCTTACATTGATGAAGACATTTCTTAATTTTCACATAATTTAATAGGCTTTTCATCATACACTTGACTTAAACTGCTCCAGGGCAGAGTTTTGGCAAGCTTTTTAGGGTCATAATGAATATTGTTCAGATGAACACATATTAACAGTTAACACTATGCAAATGTTAACTCTGCACTTTGGGTCAGAGAGAAAGGTTTAAGTTGGATTTAGACAGTGGTTAAGGCCATGATTTAGATTGTCCTAATGCTAAGAATGCTAGAGTGTAAATGTGTTGTTTTGTTTTTATGTCTGATCAATATGAATGATGATGCTGCTCACAAAAAACTGTCCGGTTTTCTTTGAGGCCATTACAGACTGCGACCTGGTTGCACCCTTTTTCTTTCTGCTGCAGTGATACAAAGAGCCATTCAGATGAAGGCACTGTAGAGAAGTAGTTGTAAATAATTGGGTTTTGTTCTGCTTTAGTAACTACAATGTACAAAGGAAGGTGTGGCAGCTGAACGTTGACATCAACATATTATGCCTTTTTATTTCTGCTTTACAATGTGTGTCCTTTTCTTTGGAGAGAGGAGATGCTGCAAAAGTAACCAGGCATAATGAGATGCAGAGTTACCAAAATTACCAATGGTTAATAATAAAGCATACTTTGGGTAAAGGGAACAAACACAGATCAACAAACCTGACTAATGAAAATTAAGTTTAAAGAAAATATTTCACTGAATATGTACATAATTAAAACTTCAGTCTTTTATGCCGCGTTTCCACTACACAACTGCATTGAAAAGCAAAGATACACAATTCATCTTTTCTGCAAACGTACATGAACAAACATCTGAACCCATTTGGTAAATGGACACATGCAAAGGGCGCTGAGTTGATCTAATTCTGTTGAGTGCTCACAGTAAAGCTGCGCAAGTGTGTGCAAAGATAAATCAAACACCCCACAAGCAGTACACATATGTGTTGATTATTACAAGCCAATATAGTATTTTCTGCCTCATTGATTACTATGTCTTTCAGAGCTGTTCAGTAATATTGAAGGATAGGTCTGTAATTGAAAGACCTCCAATATTTGAAAAGAATGAGTGTTCTGGTTGTTTTATTGTCCAAATAGTGAGAAACAAACTCAAAACCAAGCCAGACTTATCCCACAAATAGTTCAAATCGAGACCAAAATAAAAGATGAACTATGTTTCTGGTTTCAGATTAGGTTTTTAGGCCACACCAGAAAAGAACCTATAGATCTGTTTGTTGCAAAGAGGTCTTTTAGCATGAAAAACACCTTAACAATTACTAATGGAATAGGAAAGGTCAGCCTTAATAAACAACAATGTTTTGTCTGAGAGACGCTCTTTATCAGGAGGCAGTTTTTTCTAATCATGAGTGTTGGAGACAAGATAAAAAAAGGAAGTTCGGAAGCAGTTTCAGTCAAGCTCAGTTCACAAGCGACACAAATGCATACTAGGTTGGGAACAAGAACACCAGACTAAACACGCTTACATTGTAAGTGTTAAACATAGACAAGACTTTCTGGACTGGTCAAATGTTAAGGAACATTATCACATCCACCATGACATAGAGCGATTCCTGTTAGTCCCAGTGGATGGCGATTCAATTCCGGAAGAGTTGGAAAAAGGACACTGCGGTACTGCTTATATTTGATAGCAAATGTTGTTAGAACTCAGTACTTAATCTCATCGACAAGAAGACTGAAACCCCTCTTGGAATAAAAACTAAAAGTAAAACATTTACGATCCTTGCCAGTCTTACTTTGGTTCCCAGTCACAGTCAAGTCGAGGTCCTTCTCCACGTCAGGCTCGAAAAGAGAGAAACCCAAACAGAGAGCGACTCAAGTTGAATCCAGACCAGAATAAGTCAGTGACAGAGAATCTTCACACGTCGGTCTAGGCCACACAGCAGTACCTTTTCCACCAGGACTTGGACAGACTCTTCATCTTGTCCGGTGTCTGCCTTTGCTTTTTCCGTCGTTTCTGCTTCCCTCTGGGATGCTTTTTGTTGGAGCTGCAGTTCTGCAGGCTGGCCAGTATGGCTGTGTCAAACACTTCTTTTAAGTTCTTCTGGGTCAGGGACGAGCACTCCATGTAGGCCACAGCTCCGATATCCATGGCACATTCCTGGGCGTCTGCTGGGTCCACAGGTCGCTCCCGGTACTTAGCCAGGTCAATGAGAACCTAAGAGAAGAGGAAACTCAATGTTACCATGCGTCTGTAGAGCTTGTATCTTCTTATTTGTTAAAGAGGAAGGAGACACTTGCAATGTTCTTCTTCAATCAGTGATCATTCAAAAACACAAAAAAACAGGGTTTAGGATCGAAGGACTGGGATAACATTGACACTTTTCTGTTTCTAGTTTGTGCTATTGTGTGACTTTCATGAATCTGAACTTGTATTTTTAACACAACAAAGTCACACAACATTAAAAATAATACAGTCAAGGCAGCAGTAGACCAACAACTAGTGCAAACTGCGATGTAAAATTACTGTTTTTGTCAATGTAGAAAAAGAGCAATCTCATACATCCCCACTTGAAAACATCTGAATTATCACTTTAGTAACATTATATATTTCTAAACACAATTATTGTGTTTAAGGTGCTATTTAAATATGGCTGATCTGTCACACTGTCGTGTCTTACAAGGAGACTTCAACAGAACAAGATTCATTGTTAATGTGATCAATAACACGTGTGCTTTTTTTCTAATGGCAATCAAAAATGTCTGTTGTGAAAAGGACTGTAAAACACATGTGTCAAATGGGTCAAATTGTGATTCAGAATTTTCAAAGCTAGTGGTTTGAACTTTGTCAGAATAAAGGCATCACTTTGTCTAGCATATTGCAACTTCTTTACGTTCTCTCTACGTCAGTAAATATTTCACCTTGACATCTTCTCGGAGGTCACACTGCGTCCCAACGAGGACGATGGGTACAAAGGGTGCATGTCTCCGGATCTCCGAGATCCATTTCTCCGGAATGTTCTGGAAGGAGGCGGGACTGACGACGCTGAAGCACAGCAGGAACACATCTGCACTGGTGTAGCACAGAGGACGCAGCTTATCAAACTCATCCTGGAGGGAGGAATCAAGATAAAGAGAGGGGATACGTTTTGAGGATGAAGAGATTTGACAAACGCAGCAGAGAAGAGACTTGAGGAGTATTTGGACAAAAAACAGAGTATGGTACAGGATAAGAAAGTAATCTACAACGTCCTGCATCTCATGTCTTTCCAAAACAATGTCTGGTGCTACTCAGTGTCTGTTCTTTATGACAGATGATAAACTACGAGGATATGTTGAGCTTTTCCTCCCTGACGTGTTATCTCTGAGTCTATCCTTCCTCTGCCTGTGATCCTCCCATTCATTCTGCCATCACATCTGAAAACACACTTTGTTTGTTTTAACAGATAAACTTAAATTGTTACATGCTCAACATTAGGAATACAACTATGAGGCAGAGGCGTGTGGCGCAGTGGATACAGCGTTGGTATTCGGATCAGGAGATCACAGGTTCAAACCCCACTGCAGTCAGCATGTCGTTGTGTCCCTGGGCAAGACACTTCACCCCAAATTGCTCCTGTGGGGATTGTCCACAGTATTGAGTATGTAAGTCGCTTTGGATAAAAGCGTCTAACAAGTAACATGTAATGTAATGTAACTATGATTTCTTTTCATTATCATTAATTCTGCAGATTAATTTCTCGATCAATCGACAAGTTGTTTGGTCTGTAAAATGAAACAAAATAGAGAAACATGGCTTTCAGTGATTCTCAAAGCCAAATAAACGTCCTGAAATGTCTTTGAAATGTTTGTCCACAGCTCAATTATTAGTTGCAGTCATAGAGGAGTAAAGCAAACTGAAAATATCGCATTTAAGAAACTTGAATCAGAGAGGTTTGAGTTTGTTTTCTTGAAGAAATTACTAATTGATTAATGGATTAACCTCTCCAGTATAGTTCACAATAACTTAAAGTTTAATTAGTTGAAGCTCAATTATTGCTTTTATTTCAGAGACCAGCTGCTGCTCTTCCATATGCAGATGAAAAATGCATCACTTCCTGTGTGCGACATCATTTTTCCCAGGAATGACCTGCGGGACAGTTTGAGCTCACCAACAAAGACATCAAATCCAACTGAGATGTTTAAACGTTTTAGCATATTTAGTTTAAAACTTATCTTAATCTGTGTGCCTATTATCTCCATGCTCACCATGTCGGTCAAACTACATTGTCATTTAAAAATAGATTTGGATAAAGCAGCCAAACCTTTTTATAAGAAAACTGCAGCAACATCTCTGAATTGCCATGATAAAAAAAACAAGGTATTTGTTAAGTTTGAGAAAAGTTTTCAATTAAAACTTGTAGGGTAGACTAATTGTTGGGGGTGGTCTTTGTTGCATGTCACACCACCTCTTTTGTCTTCCCACGTTTCCTGTCTAGCTCTACACTGTCAATTATGAAAACAAAAACAATAATGCCACTCACAAAAATACAATTTGTGTTTGAGTATACTTCTCTTTTCAAATAAAGAAAGAGAGAAATAAGGTTTTAATCTTCATCACATGGTCAGAGGTATTGTTTCAAACACAAATAAAACAAAAACAGGAAATGCTGCTCACTCTTCCCCTCTGTGTGCGTATTGTGTGTGAGTGTGAGTGTGAGTGTGAGTGTGAGTGTAAGTGTGTGTTGTGTATTTGTGATGAGGTCACTGACCTGCCCGGCTGTGTCACAGAGTTGTAGTTTGACTGGATGCCCGTCCACTGATACCACGGCTGCACACACAAACAGTGAAGTCAAAGTCCAAGGTGAAATCTTTAAATATCTTATTTGGTCAAAGATGTTCAGTTAAATAATAATAAAACAGAAAAGGGCAAGACATCTCAATATAGGCAAGGCTGAATTCAGCATTTTGTAAAATAATTGCATAAAATTGACTTTAGCAACTATTTGTGCAGAGCATTTACAGTGAAGTTGGCAATACAATCTTGAAACTTAGGTTAACTCCAAATTACAATTTATTAAAAAAAAAGGGGAAAGATTCCAAGTAAAAGATTGCAAGGTATAACATGGGGTGAAAATATACAAATACAATATAATAATCTTGGGGTAGACTTACAAATAAATAAACAGAATATCTATGTATCTATTCTTTCCTACACTTCATGTTGTTGTTGCACTGTCCCTTTACAACACTGCAAATGTCTGCAAAAGACTTTCTGAAATTATTATTTGTTCTACTTTTTAGTAGGCATCATCATCATCAATTTCATCATCATCATCATCTTCCTCCTTTACCTGAGAAGTTGTCAAACGCGGTGGGCACGTACTCGGTGGGATACCCATTGGTGGTGTAGCTGACCACCAGGCTGGTCTTCCCCACAGCTCCGTCCCCCACCAGCACACACTTCACCCGCCGCGTCCTCCCGGAGCCCCGGACCCTCCTCGGTGGGACAGGCGGAGCAGGGGACACCGGGGCCGGCTTGAAGCACCCCTCGCCCCGCGGAGGCATCTGGCACGGAGAGGAGGGGGACATGTAGCCGGAGGAGCCCCGGGCAGGAGGCTCAGTCCCGGGTCGGGCCAGTGTTCACATCGTCCATTCCTCCGTGATTATCAGCCGGTGTGTCAACTGACTTCTCTGCTGTCCGCTTCACTTTAGTTTCCATTTTAGGTTAATTATAAAAAGTTTGAACTTCTGCTGTCCACACAAAGCCACAAAGCTGACTCTGTGTACACTCTGAGCTTCATGGTTGAATGAAATGTGAATTAAAGTCCGATTAGTAGAGCGCTGATTCAATAATGTCACAGTCTGTGTCCGTCCAGCCGTCCAATGGACAGACCCGTCCCAAACTCCCCTTCAAATGACATCACAGTGTGTGTGTGTGTGTGTGTGTGTGTGTGTGTGTGTGTGTGTGTGTGTGTGTGTGTGTATGTATGTATGTATGTGTGTGTGAGAGAGGGAGTGTCATCAAGCCTATTCATAATGATAATAACAATAATAATAAAAATAATAGCAATAATTATAATAATACAAATATAACAATATTAATAGTAATAATAGCCCATTTATTTTTCATAACATTACACTTACTTTTGTCAAGTCTATTTGCCTGGAGGCTTTTTCAATGTTGTTTTTAACTAACAAGGTTTCATATGGGAATATAATGAGCTGGGTTTAGATGGATTTCAAATTGCCTCATTCTGAAACGTTTACTGTTGACAAGACATGTGGGCCCTCTAGTGGACAGAGTGGGAAATAAAGATGACGTAAAATATTGTTAAAAAAAATATTATAACATTTCATGGGTCTCAGTGTCAGGTGAACTAATAATACGTGTCCCCCAAACAGCATTAGCCTCTGTATTTCTACAGTGAGTGCTTCGAGGACTGCGGAGTGCGGAACGAAACACCGGCGGGTCGCTGTTTCCTCGCGGACCCTTTTCTGAACGGCACCTCATTTTCAAAACATGTGTTGTGAAGCAGGATTTATTCTGTCAGTTTTTAACATACCATATTCATCTGAACGATAGATCCGCTGTTCTCTAAAATGTCCGGAGGTCGCAGCCTGGCCTCGGAGGAGGTGGTCCTCGGCTTCCTGGAGGAAGTGGAGCCGTGGCGGCTTCTGGCCCCGCAGTTCCCCAGCAAAGTGGGGGGGAGGCCGGCGTGGCTGAGCCGGACAGGCCTGCCCTCCCTGCCCGGGCTGCAGTGTGAGATGTGCCGCCTGCCGATGGCCTTCCTGCTGCAGGTCAGTGTCCCGGAGAAGCCATACATGTTTCTTTTTCACAGTCAAATATGCTTTAATCTTAACCCATAAGGACGGGGACCCACCGTGACACAGGTGTTACATGACGTTTAAATGCTCCGGAAAGTTCCTTTTACAGATTTAGCCTTTATTTTATTTTTTTATAATTCATTCTTGTTCTGTTTAACGCTTATTTATAACCAGGAGCATCCCATTGAGATTAAGTACTTTTTTGAACTGTGGTGGAGACCTAGCCAAGTCAGCAGTATAAATACAACTACATAGTAACAGACAGAACTCATTCATAAAAAAGTAAGAGTCAACCACAAGAAATATAAAAAAGGTAAATAAAAAAAAATGTCTAACAAAAATGTTCATCTTTAGGAAGCGGCCTTGTTTGGTTGTTTTACATTGTATTGTAAAAGCATTTGATTAATATGTTTTCTCATTTAAAGTTTGAACCAGTAGAATCAAGACTAAAATAACATTAATGAGTAAAAGTGTAAAAAAATATTAACATTACTCAGAGACTTTCATAGAAATTTCAAAAGAGAAAAGACATCACAATATGAAATACATTTAGGCAGATTTCCTCTTAATATAATAGTTATTTTCCTCCCTTTTATTATGAACAAGAAGCCAACATCTATATACAATATCAGCCCAATTAATACGATAATTAATGTATAAAATGTAAAGTACTGACTTCCTGCATTTTCCTTTCAGGTGTACGGACCAATTTCTGGTCAGGACAGAAGTTTCCACAGAACACTCTTTCTGTTCTGCTGCAAAACTCACGAGTGCTACACGCATAACGACAGCCGCTGTTTTAAAGGTACCTGTAACAGTGATTGGTCCTTACTCCTTAATGTTTCACATGTTGTCCCATGAGGGCAGGATGTCTTTCTTAAAGGTCTCCTATCATGCAAAATGCACTTTTTAATGTCCTTTATACATAAATATGTGTGTCGGGGAACTCACAAAATGTCAGAAAACAAAACCCTCTCTCTTTTCTTCCGTACCCACATCTCTAAAAACGGGGGTACAACGGAGCTGATCCAGATTTTCTGCCGATATGACGTAATATCGGAAAGGTGGGCTGGCTTTACGCCCACGGCACTATCAGAAAGTTGCTATCAGAAACAATGCACAACGTCTTTTGGACGTAATATGGTCTTTGTTTACATTAGCAAGCATGCTAACACTCACAGCTAACCAGTACCGGAGAGAGTATGTGTAAAAAAACAGAAAATAAAAAATAAAAAAAGGAACTCACCTTGTGGTAAAACCGCAAGAGAAAGCATTTGAGCTCCATACTGTTTCAGAAATAATCCTTGAAGTGGTTTGGAACATGATATGGCGTTTCATCACGGGAGCATTTAGCTGTATCTGTGGTAGAATTCTGAGCAGGCACAAGCTCCCCCTCCTCTTATTTTCTTTTTCAAGCTAAGGACCCTGAATCAGCCATTCTCTAACAGGGCTGGAATAGAGGGATATGAGGGATGTCTAAAATGCATGATCTGTTTGGTATTTTGAGCAAAACACATCATAGACATGTTTTTTATATTTTTGTATATATCTGAGACCCATAATATATGCCTACAAATAGCATGATAGGAGATCTTTAAGAGTAAGTGTAATTTTACCGATTTTGAACTCTCCTCTTCCCTTTTCAGTTTTCAGAAGCCAGGTATCGAGGAGGAACGAGTTTTACCCCTACAACCCTCCACCAGGTTGCTATTTTTTAATAATTTGCAGTTTACATTTTTCTCATTGTGTTAGGCAGTTTTCAAAGTACTTCAACAGTGAATTGGCTTCCTTATGAGGGATCTTCTTTTTGTCAATCTTTTGTTTTCTCAGAGGATGTACCCCCGAGTGATCCTGAGCCGGACCCGAATGTGTTGTCCGTCTCCGGAGTGAAACTGTGCTGGGTCTGTGGTTGCCCCGGCAACAAAGCCTGCTCCCGCTGTCACAGCGTCACATATTGTGGAAAACCGCACCAGACCCTCCACTGGAAACACACACACAAGAGGGAGTGCGGCAGCCAAGGTGTGTGTGTGTGTGTGTGTGTGTGTGTGTGTGTGTGTGTGTGTGTGTGTGTGTGTGTGTGTGTGTGTGTGTGTGTGTGTGTGTGTGTGTGTGTGTGTGTGTGTGTGTGTGTGTGTGTGTGTGTGTGTGTGTGTGTGTGTGTGTGTGTGTGTGTGTGTGTGTGTGGTGTGTGTGTGTGTGTGTGTGTGTGTGTGTGTGTGTGTGTGTGTGTGTGTGTGTGTGTGTGTGTGTGTGTGTGTGTGTGTGTGTGTGTGTGTGTGTGTGTGTGTGTGTGTGTGTGTGTGTGTGTGTGTGTGTGTGTGTGTGTGTGTGTGTGTGTGTGTGTGTGTGTGTGTGTTTTAATATACATGGACATGTGAAGTCATTATTATAGCTTGAGTTTAGAGTCACAGAATTTCTATTAATTTATTAAACAGTTCTTGTCCTCATATCTCTGTTGTGTCCTTGTCCGTTTGTATAGAAGCTCCCATTGTTACAACATCAACCTTCCTCTTCCCTGAGTCTGAGCTGGTCACTGAACCAGAGGAGGAAGAGAAGGAGGAGGATGAAGACACAAAAGAGTCTAAAGAAGACGAAGAAGAGGAAGAGAAACAGGGTGCAGACTCCTTATCAGACGGTAAGCTTTCAATTATTTCTGATATGGAAAGTTGGGGAAGATGTGTAGTTTCAGGAGTTCACTACACAAAAAATACCAAAAGTAATTTGACTGCTTGAATCTCTCTCATGCACATGCAAACTCTCACATTACACAAGTCTCACACAACGGCCTCTAACGTCTGTGGGAACAATGCTTTCACATGGTTGAAATGTCACTGTTATTTTGTAGGTAAAGCTCGAAAAGCCGTATAAAAGTTGTATGAGTGAATGTACGGTTTGTAGCAAATGAGCAAACTGCTTTATATTTCTGGTCCAAACATAATACAGGACAGAACAAACTGTTGCATTAAGATTTAACTTGTATGGCTACTGTTGCTGCTACAAGTTAAAATCATTAGGGATGCTCCGATCGATCGGCCCGCCGATCGTTATCGGCCTATATTCACTCTCTATAAAGGCCGATCAGAAGAGCCGATCACATGACGTAAAATACATGACACTTTTCTCTGTGCGCGGCAAAACAAGCTCGCCAAAATGGCTTCACCAGTCTGGCAGTATTTTAAGGTGTCCGAAAATGACAATAAAATAGCGGTATGCAACGTGTGTGAAGCAGAAATCCTGCAGCTCCACCCGCTGTGATGGACCGGTGAGCGGAGCGAAACACACACTAAGAGTTAGACCTAACACACTTAGCTATTTTATCTACCTCTGGAACAAGCTAAACTAGTTATAAATATGTTTATTCTTCACTGTCGGGTCACTCATTACTGGATCAGTGAGCTGCAGGAGATACTGACAGGCTGTCAGGAGAAAGAGAGAGGGAGAGAGAGGGGGGAGGAGAGAGGAAAAGAGAGCGCTTCCGCTCATTTCTCCCGTGTTATTATTATTAGTTAATGTAAACTTGAATAATGTACTTCATTTGAATGTAATAATTATTTTGGTTGTTTGTGGAAGCGCATCATGTATTGAAAAATGTATCTGAACTTTTCGATCCGTTACGATTATAAACTGAAGCAATATAAAAATGAGCCCCATTAACTGAGTTTTAAACATCACTTTAAATGGACGATCCCCATAGGCCCCACCCACCCGATCGGATCAGCGATCGGTATCGGCCGATACTGATTCCGGCGATTGGCCCAAAAATTCCCGATCGGAGCATCCCTAAAAATCATGTAACACTAATGCACTGAATGGTTACCTGGATAATGACAGGAGTTTCACTGCTGGAAGGCATCACCAGCACTGCTCTGTGATGTTGCTGCAGAAATGTTTTTGCTTTAATTTGTGACTAAATTATTATCTGTATTCAGCCCTGGCAGAGACAGACCTGGAGGAGATGGCGATGCACGAGACTGAAGACAACAAAATTGTGCAGCGGTTCAAAAAGAGGATCGCACCAGAGCCACACCAGGTGAACAAACACACTAAGGCAGGGGTGTCCAAACCTTTTTCACCTAGGACCACATACAGAAAAATATACGAAGGGCTGGGCCACTCACTAGAGTTATATTGCCTCATAAGTTCAGTTATAAGTTAGCACAATCAATCAAATGTAGGTAAATGATGCTTGTGAGTGTTAGCAGCTCATCCCTTAAAACAGAAACCTCACATTGATTATAAGGAGACATATGAAGGGTGTATTTCAAGCTTTTTATGTAAATAAGTCATTGGGCTTTTTTCTTATCAACTAAGATATGTTAGAAAATGTTTCCAACTTTAATTGACTGAATTTATTTGAAAAGTGGTCTTATTAACACATGAATACTACTGTGTAATATAATTTTACATTTATATTTAAGAAGTACAATATAAGACAAGCACAAGTTTTATTTGTGGGCCTTATTCCATTATACTTTTTGAATTTGATGAGGGCCGATTCAAAATAGTCCGCGGGCCGCATTTGGCCCCCGGGCCGTAGTTTGGACACCCCTGCACTTAGGATATGAAGTAAGAAAGATCTTGCCGTTTTCTCTGAGTCCTTCTCACAGTGCTGTGTTTTGTTCAGGTGGTGCGGTACTGTCGAGGGGGCTCCCCCTTGTGGGTGTCTTCTCAGCACATCCCTTCAGATCAGGATATCCCACCATGCACCTGTGGCGCCAAGAGGATCTTTGAGTTTCAGGTATTCATTTATTGTCCTTCCATCTTCTTTATCCCTAGCTTTCGCCCTTCAACGCTGTCTCAAATGCCTGCGTGCGATTATTTTGTCACACGTATTAAAAGTGAGTGTGCACGTTGGTGATAAAAAACAAGTTAAGGGGCATTTTATTTGTTTACATGACTTAAGTTGATAAAGACAGATTATCCATTGGGCACAGCTGTTACCGCTGCAAAAGTATAATGTTTACAGGTTGTCTGTGTCCCACTCAGCTGCTTATTATGACCATTTCACACGAATTGTCTTATAGGACTAAATTATAAAGTGAGGACATTTTCTGCAGACATCATATAAACTGCAACTTGAGTGGTTGGCGTGACAGGCAGAATTATTCCCTGAACACAGTAGCTTATTCTTTCTAGCAAGTTTTATTGACCGAAACTGTGAGTATTATTCTGATAAATTAACATTATTCTACCGGGCAGATTGACTGACCCCGAAAGATACCGTCTGACTCTATGGATAGGCGATCTGACATTTGCCAGAGAAACCAAGTGTAATTAGAGAAACAGGTCTAATACATCTCAAGATGCATATAACTACTACCCCTGCTATTTGCAGTGAGAAGACAGTTATTTTCCTGGCCGTACAGATAATGCGTTGAGAATTAAAAGGGATGTTATTCCTTTTACTTCAACAATTTGTGATTCCATGAGCATGACAAACCTTTAAACACATATCCATAACTATAAGAGATACAACTTTCCTTATCTGATATGTTTGCTACAATTACCAGCATTTTTAAGAACAATCCTTGTCTTATTATCTAATTTAACCATAGTTGTCTTACCAGTGGTTTGGGATATATTTATAATTTGTAGGCATGAGTCCTATGATTCTGGCGACTAACAAGACAGCAGGATGACATTTGTTTACCTTTAGCCTAGCTTTGTTTTCCCATCAGCAAACACTGTGACGTCAACACTGTCAGCACCTTAAAGGGTCGGTACATGGAATCATCTGTGTGTTTCTTCAGGTGATGCCCCAGCTGTTGAACAGTCTGTGTGTGGACTCTACAGGAGCCAGTATCGACTGGGGGACGCTCGCTGTCTACGCCTGCTCAGCCAGCTGTAACAATGACGATCAGTACTGCCCCGAGTTCATATGGAAACAAGACTTCAGCTCATATCAACTCACACAGACTCAACCTTCATAATATCTGTCACACTGATGCATGTGAAGCTCAGACAACTCAGCAGTGAGGAAACTGGTTTTCTCTCTGACTGCAGTGATCACACATGTAGTGATGTCCCTGTACTTTATCTGATCAAACTCCTCTCTACGAGACTTTTAAGGACAATGACGATTTTTTTTTGGGGGGGGCAGATATTCACCGTCTGGATTAATAATAACAGTTCAGATATTCAAACAGTTCTGCTTCCTTGCCACTCCCAAACCCTTTGTATTATTCTTTGACTTTTCACTGTTGGGAACAATGCATCGGTGGTGTTTCTGACTTATGGGTTCAAGGTTTTTTTTGCCATATACTGTACTGTTTATACATTATATATGTTGGAGCCAATACTCCACAAAAGGAATATGTGACTTCCCACACAATGAAGTGTTTACCACACCTGTCTTAACAGTGATATCATGTTCTGCATCATTTAGTGGACAAAGTGAGGCAAATCATGTTGTTAAAATACTATCAAACTTTAAAAAGAAACATACTGATATGAATGTAATTGTTTACATCCCATAAGAAATATAACAATTTCAAATTATCCATAATTTGTTTGTATTTTATAACTTTAAAAGGATTCACCCAAGAACCCTGTGTAATTGTACTTTCAATTCTCTGGTGAAAAACCCCAAAGAACCGGTTATAGGTTTCCATCCCAAGCTTATGATGAAAGCAGTGTTAATATTTAGTAATGACGGTTCATACATGTAAAGATCAAACTGAACTGCCCCCATTTACTTCTAATCGTGTTGCTTTTATGGCGAAGACATCCACAGTAAGACTTACAGACAGCCTTTTGTAACCCATCATGCACCTGGACCTCTATATACCATCAGGCCACTTTCAAACTGAATGAACAAGAACAGCAGCGAGTATCGTTCCAGGAGAGACAGAATGGAGGCTCACAAACAACTTTTTTTCAATGGCTTTAACAAGAAACATGTCAGGGAAGAAGTTTTTTTTTTAACAACAAAAAATGTAAAACCTCATCTCCTTATAACAATCTGTAAGAACAAGAGGCAAGAACTCATCAGGCAATTTGACAAACGCCCATCTTCTGGCTAATATCAGCGTACACAGTACTGATTCATACACAAAAAAATTGACTTTTCATTTCTGAATGTCCTAAAAACCAAATGGGTAAAAGAAATGAAAACAAATCAAATGCTTACAGATGGAAGAAACATGAATCTTTTAGCAATCTGTGAGAGAAGAAGATAAAGACAGCAGTAACTCATCAGTCCCAAGCCAGCTTTAGAAACTAAACGTGTACCATGGCATTAGGAAGAATTATGGACTGAGACATTTTCCGTCAAAGGCTCCTTAAGAACAATGGTGATGCAAGAGGTGAAATAACTCTGATTACAATTATCAAGCAAGAAAAACCAACAGATGCAAAAGAGGCACCTCTGTTCGTTTTTTAACCACCTCCATTTGACATCCCTTGTATTACAAATACTTAAAATCATCTAGAAGATTAAATAAGAGGTTTTCTGAGTGATGGTTATCTGAACCAGCCAGACAACATGTGCGAAATAAAAATAACGATCTACTCCTGATGTCCCAGGAAAAACTCATATCTCAAACTTAGTACAGGTTATGTAGATGACACACCATAACAAGAGGTTAACTGTTATGAATGCATAAGTAAGTAAGTATTTTTATTTACATCCTGACAATTAAGACCTTTGTGAGATACGGGCAGTTTTCATTGCATCCACACGAAAGGAAAGATGACTAACTGGACACCAAACATTGACACATAAAAAGGTAGAAATTAGGCAAAAAGGCAAGGTTAATAAAGATTGCTTTAAATGATTAGAAATAGTAGTTAAAGCACTGGTGTGTGAATAAAGGTTTTGATTCATGGACAAAGTAAGTATTTTCTCTCGTTAAGGAAATCAGTTTTCCACTAAGAGAAAAGGACCTCTTTGTCTAGAAAACCGGGTCAAGCAGATGTAAACAAATCAGACAACTGTTTATCGGAAATGACAAATGTTCACTAGATTACTATTTAAGGACACTGTGCGCAAAGAATAATTTGGGAAAAAAACACATAGTAAACATTGACAATCACATATTGAGAGTGATGCCTATAATCTAAGAAGAGCAAACACACAGGCAGACAGAGCTTCAAATATCGATCGTCCCAAATATCAAATGTACAATGAGTAATTATTATTTCCTACACTAATTGTTTGCAACTGTTTTAAGACATATCTCAAACCTCACCAGACCCGCATAAGATTATTTTCTGTTCAAGTTATCTGTGCATAACAGGCATGAACTCACACTGACCCGGAAAACAGTTTGTGGAAATGGTTATTTTCTGATCAAATGAAATAAAGCCAGCATTACGCTCAGGACCAACACAACAGTTCCTGTAGAAATATTGCAATACTTTTTTTTTTTTTTTTTATTAATCGTACCAGTATTATGTGCAACATGTTAAACATTCTTCTGACAGTATATACAGAGGTGCAGTGTGTTCCTGTACATGTTGCATATGCTACATCAAGTTAAGAATAGCTCATTGAAACCCATAAACGTACAGTTTGGACTTTGAGTCTCCATGGCAGCCATGTCAGCACACTGCAGAAAGAACAGTACAGGAGACAGGAGACCCATGTCCAATGTGAATAATACATAAATGCCCTACAGGTGACACAAATCAAAGTCTAACATTACAAATCCAAACATTCATTCAGATTGATTAAGACATAATGATTTCATTCCAAGTAGTAGACCACAAAATGCTTTGTTCATTTGAAAATGTGTGAATTAAAAAAGTCAACAATAAAAAGCAACACTAGTGGCTGCAAAGGTTTGTAAAATGCCCATTGGGCCATTCCCATTGTGCAGTGTGTGTAGAACATCTCTGAGCCCCCAGTTAACAAACTGTACATTATATATACTTTTATATTATATATACTTTTTTTTTTAAACATCACCCTGGATTGCAGCTTATTTACTTTGTTATTCTTCTTAACTGAGGGAGATGAGTCTTGGAGAAGTCGGTGAAAGTTTGTATCCAGTCATGGTAGATTTCACTACCAGTGACCTTAGAAGCGTAGGTGTCACGTGTTACCTTAGTTCAATAGGACACTTGAATGTCTAAACTTAGCTCGAGAATGAATAACCTTTTTAATGTGGACAGCGTTGAGAGGCGTGCAGGTCAGTTCCTCCTCTTCTGTAAAGCACTCTCCGTTCTCCTCTTTCTCCTTCTGCCCTACTTTAACTCTCAAAGTCCGGTGGTAAAGAAAAATCTCACCTAAGACTTTTAGGCTCAACGAACCCGGGGATTGTATTCAAAGAGTATTCAAAACGAAGTAGAGCAGGCTTAAAAATGCCAATATGTGATGTAATATTAGCCAACCAGCTAGCTCCACACAGCGCCAGGGACTGTGGCAGCTGCCTGGCTCCCTGACCTCATAAAACATCGTCCCAGGAAGCAGCAGGGGCTTCTGGACCCCCAGAGATCCACAGTGAGACCTGCTGCTCCTTAATGTTGACTAGCTGTTTGCTGCTATGACCCGGGGGCCAACCAATGCTGGATCTGAGATATCCCGCTCTGCAGCTGGGCGACGTAGAAGTCTGCGTTCCTGGAGAAGTCCTGACAGACGGAGGAGTGGGCGTCGCCCAGAGCACAGTAAAGGGCGGTGCCACCCACACTGATCACTACGGTAACAAAACAAAGCAGGAACAGCAGCAGGCAGGAGTCTCCACCGCCAACATCTACAGACGAAGAGAGAGAGAGAGATTTAGTTAGAGAGGAAGTGGATTCATCATCATAATTAACCCGGACCAATTCCTGTGTTTGATGTTTTCATGGAGGGATACAGGTCTTTAACCTTTGGGAAATAAATGAAAAACCCACCTTGTTCACAGCCATCATCGGGGACTTTGAAGCGGACGCGTCTTTTGGCCGGGGTTTTGTCCGGTCGGGGCTCTGAGCCGATCACACTCACGTCTCCCAGACACACAGGGCGCCTCTTTAATATGGACACCAGGCCAGAGGCAGGAGACGCCTGACAAGAAAAAAACAAAAACAAAACAAAGATGTGAGGAAGTTCAGACAATTATGTTGACATAACATCATTTTCATTATATAAAAATACAGATGGATCTGTTCATATTCATACACGTCACCAGGCATGTCCACCAGGTGTCAGTACATCACACAATCAGCAGCTTTAAATCTCTCGATCAGTCAGGCTCACAGTACCAGGCACTGCTTCCTTTGACAGAAGTTATGCACATTAGACTTCCAACTCTCATCCCAGGCTCAATGCAAAGTGATAAAATACGTATAGGATTGCAAATGAACTTTGGCCATCGAGGTCGGGCAGAGTACCGTTCGTATTTTGAAACACTTCACATTACATCATGTATCATAATGTTATCATCCACCTGCTGCCAGACACAGTGAGATAACTCTGCTCACAAGGTTGAGCTGAATGACAAATGTGAAAGTAAAAACACGATTTGGTGACTAAACTTTAATGTCAATGAACCTTTAGATGGGAAGCAGATTCAAATATGAGAATCTGTTTAGTACTATGACCTTTGTACTACTTTTGTTACAAGCACATGTTTTTAAGTCTGTAGTGAAATAAACACATCTGACGCAATAGTCGTGATATGTAGTTGGTTTCTTTATAGTTTGAAAAATGTCTAGACCAACAAAACCGTGAAAGATATCTTCTTTATTTATATAACAGAAAAGCTTCCAATAAGATACGTTTGAATTCTGTACCTTGAGTAGACCAATCACAGAGCTACCTACTGAGTACTACAGTACTGCTGCCTGAAACATGTCTCCCATCCTATATTTGATAAAAGCAGGCCACGTTGTGCCTCAGTTCTTTCTGTCCCCGCTCCAGGTGCTGAGCATCTCCCAGCAGCTTCCTCGCTTTCATCTATGTCTCGACCTTTCTCTGTGAGTCATGTAACCAGCACTTAAAACCAATGACATAATACATTTTAATTAAATATTAAAATGAAGCTTTTTATCTCACAACCCACCGCACAGATAATTGTAAAAAACAACAACAAAGAAACCAATCAAGACGCTGACATCGCAGGGGCCTGACATTTTCAGTTCCACAACTTTTACCTCACTATAGAAGAGTTTAATGTCAATGTGGCTTCCATATGCGCAAAACTAATCTAGAAACAGTAATAGCTATGTAAAACCTTCGTGGTCATCAAATTGCCAGTTTGAAGCAAGCTGTTTTTGTTTTTTTAAAGTTGCGTTTTAATAGTGTGTATGAATAGTTATTATAGCATTCTAGACTTTTAGCCTGTGTTATCTTTATCGTGAACATAATGGTATTACCACAGGCAGCCCTAATGCATGCCAGCACTTAAATAAAACATAAATAACCATCAAATCAAATCAATAACTTGCTGAAAAGTCCAACAAGGTTACTCTCCGTTACCAATCCACAGCAGAGCAAGATAAGATACACACCTGCTGTACAGTGATGAGTTTAGCCATGTCGTCCAGTGAGGCAGCTTCACTGATGATTTTAATTTGCTCCACTTCGTACTCCTCCTCTTCGTACTCCTCCTCCTCCTCCTCCTCCTCCTCCTCAGCCTGCTCCTGCTGCTCCATACGATCCCCTTGAGGGAGGCGGGCCTCCTGGGGCAGGCCGGTTTGAGTGCTCTCCTGCAGTCACAATGAAACATGTTAAAATCTTCCATACCAACATACAGTTATGATGATACTAATCCCTTTGTGTTGCTCTACTCTCTATTGACCTGCTATAACAACACTCTGATGGAAGCCATTCAAACCAAGGCTCTAAAGCGATGGGGAGGTTGTTCCCAGGAAAAAGTAAGGAACAGAGGAAGTGATACAATTTATATTTAGCATGAGCAATACTGATTCATAATATAGATAGAGGAACTAAGTGGTTAGAATGAGCTCCAATCATCATCACAACTCTAAAAACCTTTAGCAATGCAAACCTTTCGAAATAATGGTAGTTTAACAATGTAGTTCCAGGATAGCAGAGTTTAAAATAATTAATAAAACTAAATAACTAACAGTAAACGACAGACTTATAAAATATAAATTGTATTTCTCTTAATGTAATTGGATTGGTTCTGTACCTGGGTCTCCTCGCGCAGCTGCTCCTCAGCGCGGGCTTCCTGCTGTAGCTCCACCTCTGCCCCACTGACCAGAGTCTCCACTGGGAGCGCTTCCTGACACCAAGGAGCGTCTCTTTTCTTCTGCCTCTCCTCCTCCTCTTCTTCCTCTCCCTCCTCCTCCATCGCTAAGACCTCGGCTTCCTTCTCCAGGTCACTCTCCTCTTCGTCCTTTTTTGCTTCCCTTTCCTGTGCGGGACCTAAATCTCCTCCCTGCTGCTCTGCAGGCTTGGACTGATCCATTTCTCCATCTGTAGAGGGGTGTAGTCCATTTCCAATGACTGACGTGGTCTGTTCTACCCCTCCTTCTGCCTCTCCTACCTCACCGTCGCTGCCTTGCTTGACGGTCAGCTGATCTCCATGAAAACATGCTTCCCTGTTCAGGTCTTCCCTCTCTCTTCCTGAGATCTCAGGGGAATCGAGGTGATCCGTCAAATTAATGGAGGGGACGACCGGAGAGCTGCTCTGAGGGGAGGAGGAGTCATGGCCTCTCGGCTCCATCCATTCATCAACTTGATGGACTGGATGATTACAAAGAGACACAATGGGGTAGGTATTAAAGGGTCAAAAAGAAAAAAAACTGGTTTAAGGCATCAAAATGGAACTTGATGATTTTATTAATCCTAGAGGACATTTGGCTTCGCACTCTGTCCCAGGTCGGGGCAGTTTATGTTTTATGTTTATGAATCACACAAACCTTCGACTGATTGCAGGATGGAAGAGTTTCACTTATTTGTTTATGTTTTATAAATGATTTCTAATCTTACCAAAGCAATTACAACCAAAATGCAGTTGAGAGGGACTTCTGTATTTAGCGGTATTGTATTTTCTTTTCAAACATAAAACTAAATACTTACTGTAAAAGGACATATCTCTGAAAAAAAAATCTCCCTATGTTAATCTAATCATCGTCACTCTGTCCAGTGTCTCCACCAACGCTACTGAATGTACCCATTTAACACATTCACACAGTACGAAACCATCATAGTTCGCCCTAATGCCTTTATTTATATACATTTCACTGAGTGAGAACCTACAAATTATCCAAAAAATTATAATTCTCATGACTTAGAAGGGAGTTTTTTTGAAAAATACCCTTGTTTTTATTATGCCTTAGCCAAATGTCCTAAAACCGCATATGAATTACATTATGACCAACCACTCTTCTACACATTTCCTGTTGATGAGCAGGAACATTAATTGTTGGCTTAAGGTCCACTTAATACCTTTTCTTACACTTTCTACTTAATCAGGACATGACAATAATACAATCACTCACCTGAGGTACTTGAAGGCAGCACAGCACTTTGTTCAAAGGTAGGCCTCAAAGGTTTCAGAGATGCACACTGTACACACAAACGAAATAATGTAACACGCGATACCACTACACGGTTTAGTAATATGCAAGTTACGCATTATTTAAAAATGTAACCTATGGCAACATGCACAGTGAACATTTTGCATGTACATTTTCACTTTCATACAAAGACACAAATGAATGACTAATGTCTCACCCCAGCATCTGTAGCTCCTGGTCTGTAAACAGAAGAAAAAGAGACACAGTGAGATTGGGAGAGGATTGAAGGTCTGTTCTAGGTTTTAGTAAATGAAGACGTGAAAGATGGGTGACCCTTCTCTACTCATTCAATCTAATATTAGCTCAAACACATTTCCCTGGCTAATACAACATGTGTGTGTGTTAAGAGAAGTGAAACCCTAGTAGTGTGATAGATCAAATGACTGACAGTGCAGCAGCAGCAAATGGACATATGTTTTAACTATCACACACTCACACACACAACACACACAACACACACACACACACACACACACACACACACACACACACACACACACACACACACACACACACACACACACACACACACACACACACACACAACACAACACACACACACACACACACACACACACACACACACACACACACACACACACACACACACACACACACACACACACACACACACACACACACACACACACACACACACACACACACACACACACACACACACACACACACACACACACACACACACACACACACACACACACACACACACACACACACACACACACACACACACACACACACACACACACACACACACACAACACACACATTATGAGATGAAATCACACATTTTGAAATATTTCACCAAACACACCTTACCATATTGTATATAGAAAGAGTGACATTTGGGTAATAACTTTAATATGGACTCCTAGCTATACTAAGAGGAGAACATCGCAAACCATTAAGTATCTGTTTAACTCTTACAGAGGTTTAGGAAGTAGAGTTTAGAAAGACAAAAAAGGCGACATTTATATTTTCACAAAGTAGCAGAGATATCACAGGTTACATTTTTCCACAGGTTGCTAAGTGAAGTTGCTTTGTTCAGCATCTCATAGTGAAAGTAACTGCTGCATATAGAGCTGTAAATAATGTGCACATTATATATTTTCATTCATTTAAAGCCCTGAAAGAGTACAAACACAAACATGCATGCCAACTGACCGACTGTGTGTCTGGCAGATGTTTTTAAGAGTGTCCAGATGTTGGGTTTCCAGGTCGGAGGAAGAACTTCTACACTGACTCTCTAGAAGATGGAGACACACAGAGAGACACAGGCAGGTAAAAGCATTGTTACAGCTACGAGGAAGACACTAAGAGCATGCTCTCCTGTAGGCAATACAATTATGAACGTAATGTAGGTCCATATCTTATGGAATTTAAATGATACGATCAATAAAACTATATTATGAGGATCCCATGTACGAGACACAGAGGCTGCAGTCATACAGTTGAATAGTTTTATGCTTATAAGCTGTGCATGTATACAATAACAAGGATTTAGGAACATGTGTTAGACTCATACTTCTATAGCATTTAGTTTTAGAAACATACATTTCTATTAGAATGTATAAGTATTTTGTTAAACAGACAAACATGTATATTATGGTTGTACTTACACAGTACATGCATCTGGCCCATGTGTGCTGTGTGTGCATGGTTCTTACCCCACTGCCCTTGGAGTGCATTCAAGTTGTCCAATACTCTCTGGTGATAGAGTCTCTCTAGTTGAATGCACCATAATGCCCGCTGGTCTGAACATCACAGGTTAAGAAACTCATAAAAACACACACAAATGCACAGACACACACACACACACACGACTCAGGGAACGGGTTGCCTCAGGTAAAGGTCAAAAAGAAGTGAGACAGACAAAATAGGAGGACGAAGAGAGACGGAGGCAGGAGGGGACGAGGGGAAATAGAGTCGGGCCAAAAGAGACAGAGGAAGAAAGCTCTCCAGGATGCAGTCGCTCATGTTTATGGATATGAGCCGGCAGAACACAATCCTTCTTTGACATGGCTAGATGCTTTCTCTCTCTCTCCCCAAGTAACCCTCTATACATGCATGACATAGCTACGCTAGCTTTCCTGTGACTCTTATCGTTTCTTCCATCCCACTTTGTCTCTTTCCTCTTATTAAATCAGTCCAAGCTTCCAATCCTTTCCCATGCACACTCTCCTGCCTTTATTCCTCTCTTCCGCTTTTTCATTGACTGCAAGTGTTATTTATATAAGAGTCTATAAGGTTGTGAGTATGCACTGTATGTGAAGATCAATAGGTTATTTGGTTCAGAAACAAAGAACCTTTTGATTTGCAGCTAAAAAGATTTAGCGAATTAGCATCTTTAAATGAATCTCTATGTTGATAATCATTATTTACTTGGGAAATACCTGTAAATGCTGCAATCTTTCATCATTGTTTTGGCAACATGATGTGGTTTTCTTTCCCTTCATGTTTAATCTGAGTATCTTCCCTGTGTCTTCTTTCTCTCTGCCTCTCTTCTCGTGTGAGTCTCTGGGCATTTTGTAGAAGCCAGCTCAGCTACCGGTGCTTTTCCTCTCACTGTTTCATCTTATGTAATAATTACCCCTCTCTAGGTTCTCCTTATCTATTCTGTTACTGTCATGCTTCCTCGTCTCTCTGTTCAGTTATTTTCCACTCTTTTCTTCTCTGTCAAATGTCTTTTGATCTCTTATTAACCTCACTTTTTTAAGTCAGTGAGGCATCAAATAATCCACTGAAATGAGTGCGACAAGTTACCCCAAATTCTACAGCTCTAAATCCGGTGTGTGTAAAAAAACTGATTATAAAACATAGACAAGAAGAAGTTAGCCTAAGAAAAACACATGAATAAAAACAGAGGAGAGCAACCAACCTTAATACACACAGCAACATAGTGATAAGGATACAGTCTTTGTGAAAGACAAAGGTCTCGGCAATCTGCAGAGAGAGAAAGAGACATTTACATTTTTGATAACGTGCGTGATTGTAATATATTTTTCAGGCTTTTACCTATTCAGTTTGTAACAAAAGCTATCAGAAAAAAAATGGCTCAATAAAGGTTCAAACCAGACTAAAACCATTCATCCAAAAGGGGTCTTTGAACATGATACATGAATCAACATCAGTCAAAGAAAAGATTGGTCTGATAAAGAACAAGAAAAGATGTAAAAAGAACACCAATAAAGAACATACATCAGAAACATCAATCTGTCCAGAGCTGTAACTGTTCTGCTGCTGAAATGAGTTCTATAATCATTAACTTTGACAACAAAAAAAGATATATGACATAATAACATGGTTAAGAAACTTCCTAGTATTCATGAGAGACAGAGAGAAAATGAGAGTGAGAGTGAAAGGCAAGACGGAAAGACGAGAGACCGTCGTAGACACTTTACCTCTCTTCAGCAAGTGTCGCGTTCATGCTGCTCAGCTGAACTTAGAACAAGAGAAGTGTGTGTGTGTGGCAGAGAGAGGGAGAGAGGGGGAGAGAGAGAGAGGGGGGAGAGAGGTCGAGGAGGTGGTGCGGAGGAGATAGCAGAGGTGGGAGGAGAGAGAGATGAGAGGACGAGAGAGAGGGGGTGAGAGAGAGAGAGAGTGTGGGGAATGGGGAAAGAGAGGAGAAAGGGATGGGGGGGGGAAAAGAGAGGGAGAGAGAGAGGGGGGGGAGAGAGAGAGAGAGAGAGAGGGGGGGGAAAGAGAGGGAGAGAGAGAGAGGGGGGAGAGAGAGAGAGGGGGAGAGAGAGAGAGAGAGAGAGAGATAGAGGGGGAGAAGAGAGGGAGAGAGAGAGGGAGAAGAGAGGGAGAGAGAGAGAGAGAGGAAAGGAGGGCACAAAAGGCTCTCGCATTTTAATGAGGTGGTGACGACTGAATGACCTTTATAGTTTACTGTACTGACGTGATTCAATTTTATGATCCAGGGTTTCCCCCTTCGAAACTGTGACAACCTACACTAAGAAAATGCAAAATAAATATATATGAAAACTAAACCCATTTAAAATGACCTAATTAAAAAAGCAACACTCACAGTCAGTTACATTGTTTACACCTGATCTCTATAGGTGAGCATAACTTCAGCATATCGTATTCACTGTTTTCAATGTAGGGGTATTGGAAATCCCCTTGAGTGCTGTCAAATTCAGCCAAAAAGGACGAGCAAGTAGAGCTTTAATTATATTTTCAACATTTTTAACGAACAATTTTAAATATTTTGCCACATTAAGAGCATCCAGATAAATCCAGTAAATCATTTTTTTTTTTATTAGACCAGCAAACAATTGACTTTAATCGGTGGATTAAGAATCGACCTGTTCTGGACATGTGTACTTGTTTTTTTATAGTCAATGAAAGTGAAAAGTTCCTTTTCCTTATCATTGGTATTGTCAAATAAAAACCATTAGGCGGTCAGCAGGGTTGTGCAACATTGTGGGAATGTAAATAAATGGCCCATTTGTGTGACGTCATGTTGTAAAAACACTACAAATAGACTTCATACTTCAGTACTATTGTTGTCCATTAGTACATGTCAATGATTTGGACATTTCCAACTGCACTTGAAGGCAGCTTCATTTCCGAGCAGCTAGTTAAGAAAAGACGTGTCAGCTGTTACACCAACTCCTGGGCAGGTGGGGAAAAGTGCCTTTTTATTTTTTAACCTTACTTTTTTGTGCTACTAAAGTTTACTGCAGCAAAAATATGGGGTTGTTTACTGCCCACTCTCACTCCCTGGTTAAATGATTGGCCTAAACATGACGTTGTGCTGCGTTTCTATAAAAAGTTGAGTCTGTTAGATCACCTGATTCTGTGTGAATGTGGCCTTATACTTACCACAACACCCCCACCCCCCTCTCTCTCTCTCTTTCTCGCACTCAAACACACACACAGACACACACCTGTTTGCCTGGAAGAAAGAGTAGCTCAGGTGTGCCCGGTGGAAGCATATGTAAATCAAACTGACTGAAATATTCACACACCCTGTAATATACATGTTCAGTCATGCAGGTTTGCAGTGTGCTAGGATTAAGTGCGTACATATCTGTCGTTGTATTAGAATATAGAAGCTGAAGACACCCATGCCTTCGGGTACAAAGTGCCACTACGATTATAGGGTTGATTGGATAACAGTGATTTAATAACTTGGTCGAGAGAGCTAACATTACAGATACTGAAATGACTGAAAGACAGCAAGAAATTACACTTAAAGAAACCATTAAAGGGGAGAAAGTCTGCTCAAGTGAATGACTGGCAGAAAGAGTGGTGATAAGCTTGAAGTATTTGACATAATATGGCAGGAATATAACAGGGAGGTTACCTGGTGAAGGTACTGTGGAAGGTGGGTGTCATCTCCTCTTTGTGCCAACTCCTCCAGAGACTTCAGCAGTGCAGAGCTCAGAATAGGCCCTGTGGCACAGGTGGAGTCTGACAGACAAGTGGGCACTGGTGTGGAGGTAATGTGTTTCCAACTGGAGGTCAAAGGTCCTGTGGTGGTAGTGGATTCTGGGCCTGCAGTCGTAGGCCGTGTGGTAAGGGGTCCCGTGGTTGAACTCAGAGGGGTGGAAGCAATGGAAGTATTATTCCTCGTAGTGCAAGTAGTTCCTGTAAATGGCTCTGAGGTAAGATGTTCTGTAGGGAAGTCAGTATTTTTTGCTATTCTGTCTGCAGCTTCTGTGATACACGTAGTCCCAGGTGGGAAGGTGCCTGAGGTTAAAGTAGGTGTAGTAGAATTAATAGGCCCCGTGGTGAAGGTGGGTGCCAGTGTATTGGACCCTGTAGTGGAGGCAACTGATTCAGAGTTATGAGAGTCCCCTTTGATATCATCCTGGCCCTGATCCACTCCACTGATGGTCTCTGGACTGACCACTAAAGGGGATGTAGGCTCTGGACTGGTCCCAGGGCTGAAGGGATATGGAGTCTCCAGCAGACTGCCTACAGAGGGAAAGAGGACAGCAGCAAACAGAGAGAGAAGTTAGAGAAATAATAATTAGAGGCACAGCGAACGTGCTGCAACAAGATAATTTGCTTACAGCTGTTTAAAAATCCTGAGGACACAGGTGTATAACAGCTGTAACAATTTGATACTGACAATTATATTTGAAACTAAATTAAGAAGATCATGTCAGCTGCCAATTCACCAAATTGTTATTGTAACTTCTATAAATATCGGAGGGTTACTTTGGGTTTTAAATAAATGTTTGAACAGGGTTTACATCGATAAACTTCAGATTATTTTATTTAAGTGAAGGGAGATAGATTGGAGCAACAGTTTAACTTAATTTACAAAGAAAGCAGAACATCTCCATATTTTAGGGGCTGAAAACTGCATTTTCTGACGTTTCTGCATGAAAAATAACTTTAATGATAAACTGATGAGCAAAATAGTTGATCAACACCTGTTGATAAAGGCTACAGAGGTTAGTCATGGATGACTGTGTAACTAGCACAAGTCTGCTTTTAAACAATCTGATGTTTTTTTTAGAATTGGGCAGTGAATGCTTGATTTTTGTATCTAGTGTTTTAAGTTCCTGTTTGTATAGCTTTTCAAAGGGTTAGCCATTTCTAAGCTAAGCTAATACCAGTCTTTTGATGGAATAGGGCACTTGAAACCACAGAGAAAAACTGAGCAAACACAACTTTCACACTTTGTCCTTCCAGGCTCATTGCTCCTTCTTTAAACACCCACACTGCAAGTACATTATTACTCTTTGTACCCGACTGGGGAGGTTAACAGCCAGTGTAGAATCAAATCAAATCAAATCTAGTTTTATTATCCAATGAATTGAAATATGTGATATATCTTTCACACATTAACCAACAAAAGTATCTCAATTATGTTTCATGACTACTAGCAGGCCTTATTATACAAACCTCCTTAACATACACATGTAACTATGGGAACTGTGTTAAGCTAACATTTTCACAATAGCTTACACACTGTTTGTCCCAAATGTGACATCACTGGAGAGACCTAGAGCACAATTGAATGCTTACCAACACAGCAACTATTTATTTTGTGTGTGTGTAAAGAAAACATGTACAAATCAGGAAATTAAACTATTTGTTTTGAAAAACACTATTATTGATTACCATGTCTGACAAGCTTGAAAACATATGTGTATCACTTTTTAATTTTCTGGTCTTTTAATCATTATTTTCCTCTATTCCTCTCGTACATTTCGTCTCTATCTCTACCCGCAGCCTGCTTAAATCTTATTTGCTGTGTTTCACTCCCTCAATCTCATCATGTGATCAGAATGGCCTAATCACTGCCGTCAGCCTGACCTCAATCCATAATGCTGACCACTTATAAAATTACAAAATAAAAAAGCTTTCCAACAGAGACTAATCCAGATCCTGACCCGAGTGTTGTTCTTCACTACACTCTGTCAAAGCACTGTTGATACATTAATATTCAGTCAACAGTTGTGAAAGTGTCAAATGTTATTTTACTATCACTGCACTTTTTACTATTTAAGATGGTTTGATTGTCTGTACACTGCACATGGTTTTACTGACTTTACTGAATCAGACAGAAAGTGACTTGTTGCTATTTAAAAACACTGCAGGTACAAATGTAACATCCATGGGCCAATCGGCCACACGTGCCACACGTGCCACCTGAGGCCTGTACTACGAAGCCGGATTTTCGCTTAGCGAGGTAACTTCAGGGTTAACTCTGGGTTTCCGGTCCTACAACGCTGGTTCACTTCTTACCGGGATAGATCTCCATGGTATCTTATGCTGAACGGCTAGCCTGAGGCCTGTACTACGAAGTCGGTTCAACCTAACCTGGATATGTTTGAGTTACCCGGTTGACCTAATCCAAAACAAACACGCTCTCGCTAAACTGTCCTACGACGCTGGTTATCAACTCGTTAACTCAAGCCAGCTTTGCCTAGTTAGGTGCACGTTCACATGAAAGGGGTGGTATTTGGAGCATTCGACCAATCAGAAACATGGACAAGCGTACTGACAGCGCAGTGCGTCATACTTCCTGAATGAAAAGTGAACTTTAATATTAGTCAAATATGAAGACGTTAAACTTTAAACATCCATGACTTAAACACTTTATCCAGGATAAAAGCCACATAGCTGCACCTGCAAGGTGAATACAGCTGGTAAAAGAAAAAGCGTTTGAATGCGTACATTAACAGGTTTATGATAAGACATGATCTGACTTTAATTACATTTGACTTGAGTGTTTCGTCAACTTAATGTGTTGCTTAAAATAATACTTCTGCATACAGTATGTGACACTGTGAGTGTTGCACGGCCAGATACGGCTCAAGAAGCTGACTCAGATAAGGAAATATATGATACATTATGATGTGATATGATATGAATGATAATGGGACACATCGACGTCTGCACTCACAGTGCCGCGGACTGTACGTAATGTTACTCTGATCCGGTTACTTATGTTGTAGCAGATATTTAAGTAAGCTTTCTTAACGCTAAGGTTATAATAGTCAGATTGCTCTGAAGATGGGAGGGGATATTCTATTCATTTTCACGTTCAAACAGTCGGTGATTTTTGCCGGCCGTCTTTCCTGCAACGGCAGTTTTTCTGTATTTCCTTTCTCCTGTAATATGACTTGATCGCTTTAAACTCCGCACACTGAGCTCTGATTGGTCAGCAGGAGGTGCTTTCACTGAGTTGATCTCTTAGCCTGCAACCTAACCTGGGGCCTATACTACGAAGCAAGATTTTCATTTAGCAAGCTAACTTCAGGTACTTCAACATAAGTAACCGGATCAACATTACGTAGCCTACAGTCCGCGGCACTGTGAGTGCAGACGTCGATGTGTCCCATTATCATTCATATCACATCATAATGTATCATATATTTCCTTATCTGAGTCAGCTTCTTGAGCCGTATCTAGCCGTGCAACACTCACAGTGTCACATACTGTATGCAGAAGTATTATTTTAAGCAACACATTAAGTTGACGAAACACTTGAGTCAAATGTAATTAAAGTCAGATCATGTCTTAGTGATCATGGCAGTGATTATCCTGGATAAAGTGTTTAAGTCATGGATGTTTAAAGTTTAACGTCTTCATATTTTTCTAATATTATAGTTTACTTTTCATTCAGGAAGTATGACGCTGCGCTGTCAGTACGCTTGTCCATGTTTGTGATTGGTTAAATGTTGCTAACCCCGCCCCTTTCATGTGAACGCGCACTGAGCCGGACAGAGAAACCCTGGCTTGAGTTACCGAGTTGATAACCAGCGTCGTAGGAACGCTTAGCGAGATCGCGTTTGTTTTGGGTTAGTTAAGCCAGATAACTCTAACATATCCAGGGTATGTTGAACTGGATTCGTAGTACAGGCCTCTGGCCAGACACCTAATTGCTTGTTTGCCGACTCATTAACCAGGATGTAAGCACTATAAGGAAACATAGGTGTGTGTACCTGAAGAACACCAATGGAACTCAACAGAGCAGAGAGAGGTGCTGTTTTCAGCCGTTCCTTTAGTTTCCTTTAGCAACATTTCTGAGATCTTCTGCTATTTGTGTGTGTGGTTCTGTGAATTGTGTTTCATGTTCTGACAAAACTGTGCCCGTTATAATCAAGCTTAGGTATTAATAAAATGCTCAGCTGTGTAGCCCTAAGCTTGTTGTGGTTTTCTAATGCCTCTAAATGGCCAACAAATGTACTACAGAGAAACAAAGATGTCTGTACTGTGTGGGGAAGTGTTTGTCTATGGTTGTATATGATATGATTTTCTCATTCATGTGTGTATGTTCCTTACCTGTTTCTGAATAGGAGGAATCAGTCATGGGAGTGTCTGGAGACTGGCAGCGCATTAGACAGCTTGATTCCTCTGACTCTTCCTCGTCTTCTTCATCCTTCATCACCTCATCAATGTCTTCTTCCTCATCCTCTCTACCTCTTTCTGTGCATGCTGCCTTTCCCTGCTCCTCTTCCACGTCCTTCCCATTGTTGTTGACTGAGGCTTTTTGTATGAGCCCTCCTTCCTCTTCATTTTGTCTCTGTGTGAGTGTGTTTGTCTCGTTGAGATTTCGAGTTTGGGCAGTGAGATCTTCAGATTTAGGAAGGTTATCACAGAGGTCAACCTCTCCCACCTGAACTTGTGACATTACTCTGTCCTCCCTCGCAAGCTGGCCTATAAATAAAACAAAGGATCAGTGTTTCTTAATTCCATAAATATCAATACAAATATATATATATAACTCCTATGAATATATTTCAGTTGATTTCATATTAACAGGTCAGCTGCAACTTGGGACAAAGCAACAGAGGACAAAAAAAAAAAACCCTGCAACAGCCTTCCTCATTCCCAACAATCATATTAGTATTTATATTGTGGTTTTCAAGTTGCTGTACTTACATATGTCGAGATGATATTATGTGTTCCGCTTTAGTGAAATTTAGACACTCACCACCATGATCCATCGGGCAACACCCTCAAAACGATTGAGCTTTCAGCATGAAGGTCAACGCCGCCTATTAGACAAGCCCTTCTTCAAGCCTGCAGAGATAAGAAGAACCAGACAGAAAACAGATGCATATCAATAACAGAAGGCATGACAAGACAGATAAAGTCAGACTCCACTCAGGTGACAGGGAGAGTGAGAAAGAGAAAGATACAAAACAGGTCTAGCATCATTCCCGAGTTGTCAAACCAACCCTAAGGCTTAAACTGATTTTTTTTTTTTTTTTTAAATACTCCAGAATAAAGTCCTACCAACAACATATTGTACTGTAGTGTAATACCACAAACACATGTGTTGTACACTGTAATTTGACATGGGAATTTTACAGCCCAGATACAGCCCTGACTATAAATAACAAACGAAAATACAACAAAACAAACAACTGAACACTGTGTACAAGTCCTAAACGATTAGGATACCAGCAACTAAATAGAGACTTAGTTTTCTCACCTATCCAAAGAAAAATCTGCATCTACTGTACTTGCTTACAAGAATAAAGTTTAAATGCATATTTTATTTCGTTTTCTGTATCACTAAGCTAATTGTTCTGCTTGTAACCCTGTTTAACATTCAGCAAAACACATTTAGAAATAAAAAGCCTTGACAAACAGACCTTGCTCAACATTGATTCCCTGTGTTCATATTAAAATGCGTATAATGTAGTACATATATTTGTAACACATACAAGTGCCACAGATTAATATGTTGGTTTATTAACACTAACACTGAAGTGAGAAACTCTAGGATCATCTTGCCTTAAGGTTGCATAAGATTAGATACATTTTAAGGAGACTGACAACACCTTATGGATAAATGCTTTATGAATAAATATAAAAATAGGAAGCTAAGTTTGCTTTTCTAGCTATGAACATAGCTCTAAGATACAAATAGAAGAGTGTTGTCTTGTTGTCTCCAGGCTCTCATTGTCCTCTGGAGGATAAAACAGTCCCTGCCATGACAAACAACTGTGATATTAAAGACTGATGCAACAACAACCTCCTGTTCATACACACAGGTGTTACTGTCCCCATCACACGTGTTTTTTTATGATTTAAGGTAATTCATCCCCCACAGAGCCATCTGTCTATACAACCGTCCATCCTCTCCTCTCTTTTTTCTGCACCTTACTCCATGGGGGACAATGAATAATGAAAGACAGAAGAAGGGACAAACAAAACAAAGGGTAGAGGGAACTGACACTGTCCAGTGAGAGGCCACTGCAAAGACTTCTAACATACAGCAGAGCTACAGACAGGCAGAAATATAGGTTAACGCTATATGTCAGGTTATGTTTACATAAGACTTGTTTTAAACACCTAAACTCACTTGTTTTTCCATTTCACTTGATTAATCACTGAAGTGTCAAAAGTAAGACAAAGCACAAACCCCCTCTGTCCTGTCACCAAACCAGTCTGACCCAGGGGCGAACTGTAAGATGGCCACGCCACCCTGTAAATCAACACTTTGTACTCTTTACTCCACTACATTTACAACAAAATAACAAAAGTTACTAGTTACTTTACATATTCACATTATAAACTAATAGGCCTACAACATATAAATAAACGAATACATAAACTATGATGTAAAATGAAAGGTTAAGATTTCGAGGCACAGCATATAGGGTAATTAAATTAGCTTTACATTTACCAGCAGTGATGAACACATTAATGCATTTATAATACTCCAGTAAATAAATATATATGATTATAAAATGGGACATTACGAACAATAAGTAGTAGTTTACTTTTGGAACTTTAAGTATATTTTGATACAATACTTTTGTACTTTTTTGTATGTCGTATGCAGGACTTTTACTTGTAACAAAGTATTTTCAGACTGTAGTATTCCTACTTTTACTTAGGTAAAACATCTGAGTACTTCTTACACCTCTGTCTAGATTGTATATGTTGTGCTTCACATGCAGCCTTTTTGATAGCAGCGTTAGCAAATAAAAACCTCTATAAGTATGTTGCATGAAAAAATGAGACAATAGGTATTTTCTATTCTAAAATCTAGCAAAATAGCAAATTAGACGTTGGCTAAGATATTTGCAGTCATTGTGCATTTAAGTCATTCAAAGAGGTGGGGCATTGTTGTTGGCTAGATCACTAGTTTAGGACAGCAAGTCCATAACGTTAAAGCTAACTTGTTAAAATATGCACAGGGCGTTTGACTTTAAAATATGTCTATAACTTTATATATGTAATGTAAGCTGTGGTAACATTACCTTGATGACCCGAGGAAGTCAAAACACACTCATGTGACAGCAGTCATTTCCACCATGACACTGTTACCAATAACTGGTTGCTAGCGAACCGACGGTTAACCATAGACTGTATATATAAAGCGGTTAACTAACGTTTAATCATTATTAAGTGTTCTGATGTAGAGCTAGCATGTTACGAAGGTTTTTACAATTTGATGAAACAGCAGGAGATTAGCCTGGTCGCTATCGTTACGGATCATGCGCAGTGTTGATTTAACGTTATTGACAGTCTTCTGTTTCATCAAATTGTAAAAACCTTCGACCAGCTAAAGCTAACATTAAAGCTAACTACTATCCATAAACACGTAACGAAACAGCAACACAAAACGCTACGGCAAGCAATTAGTTAGCGCTAAGCTAGCCGATAGATAACACATCTGGCCACCATACCAGGAGAAAACCTAAAAAAATACCCATTTAATTTACAATGCGCTTTTAAATATTAGCTAGTGTACACTACAAGGTCTACCACACAAACAGTGAATCCATTACTTACGGCTGAAACGGATGGCTGAATGTAAACAGCTGTGGCATCAGACTCTTTGCTGGGGATGTTGTTGTACTTGTACTGAATGAAGGTGTTTCCGACAGACAGGGGTCGTCAGTCACCGTAGGTCGTTCCTGTCAGCAGGCCTCCTCTGCTGCTGCTGCTGCTGCTGCTGCTTGCTGCTGCTGCTGGGAGAACGGTGCACTGTCGCCATCTTCTGCTTTTACTCTGTCAGTACCATTCATCGTATTAAAGTGATCAGTGGATTTATTTTCTGGACAAGCATTAACAATAATGCAAGCAATTTAATCTAGTGCATTTTCTCTAAGATTACTTATTTCCACTTTATGGTGTTTGCAAAGCTAGCTGTTTGCAGTGCTTAAAAATGTAATAATTTAGATCATAAAATACTGTGTGGAGTGTGGACTCATTTAAATCTGAACCCTAGTCTAAAGATGACACATAATCAAATCTACCAAATAGTGAAATATTTTTCATTCAGAACCCATATTTACTCACCGGTAGAATATTTGATAAGTGACGGATGGACAATATTGTGCACACTGCTGTGAAAACTGTGCTCCAGCTTCTACTGTGTCCTGCAGGAGTAAATTATGCAGCCAAGCTCTACTCTGTGACTCACAGGTGAGGTGGCTCATTTGGGATGTTTTAACACAGTTAGAGGGGTCAGGTATAGGGTCATGAACCAGTGGGAGATTAATTGTTTGAATGATAGCTGCAGCTGACAGTTTTGCAACTCCGGCACCATGGACCTTGGTATCAGACCTTGGGAGTGAAGAGAGAGCTAAACCACAAATTAAAGCTCGAGATATCTCGTTACCTCCATCACTTGTACAAGTATCTGGAATAAGATGCCTCTGCAAGGGAGCTGGTCATACTCTGAGAGACAGGATAATTTGCCGTTTCAGGGGACCTTGGTATCCAGCCTCCTCCACGCTGAGATAAACCAGCACATAATCAGAATACCTTTATTAGTCCCACAGAGGGGACATTTACAATGATGAAATGAGATGAACTGGTTTGAGCTTCAAATAAGAAAAGCCCTAGAGGTATCTGCCAGGTCTCCTCACTCCACTTCCACCCTGACCTCAATCAATAGCTAAAAAATACAGATACATCTTCATATAAAGATGTGAGGCCAATTTGGGTTGTTGGCTCATGTATAGAGACTTGAAATAAAGTGTTCAGTGGCTTTAAGAACTAAAACAATAGAACGTTTCGCCTTAGTGTTGTAGTCTGCCTTTCAAGATTTGGCATTATTATCTAGATGTTAATTGAACACAGCCATGGCATGCTATTGTATTCATAGCTTGTATAGTGAGGTCAAGCAATTAGGCAAAATAGAACAGCCACCTTGAATATGAGAACAATTGCCAGTGTAGCAGCACTGCCAGGCCATCACTGAGTGCTTCGAGGCAATGTGTGTCCATCTTCCATCACCACTGCCTATTACAACTGGGAGTCTGTGAAGTACAAAAATGTGGCACTGTTCTGTGTTCTGTGTGCCTCTGTATAATCCTAGCAGCAATGAGTATGTTTCCTTCAAAACATATATGACAATTAAATTAGTAATATGTACATGTAATTCATGAATATCTTTCTGTTGATTTCATATTAACAGGTCCAACATGCTTATTAGTCTTATTAAGTTCTTATATGAACCATATATTTCTCGTTTAAGTAATTATGCTTTTGTTTTGTGGTGGCAGTGGTTCAGTGTAGGGTCTTGGACTTTGGGAGTTTGGGCTGAAGGGTCGCCGGTTCACGTCCCGAACGGACCAAAAATATGGAGTGCGGACTGGAACTGGAGAGGAACCAGTTCACCTCATAGGCCATTCACTGCTGATATGCCGTTGAGCAAGGCACTGCACCCCCAACTGCTCCCTGATGCCGGCTGCTCTCCACTCTGGATCCTTTCAAATGCATGTGCATGTGTGAATATATAACTGTGTGTATTTGTACAACAAAAATGCATGTGCATGTGTGCATAACTGTGTGTATTTGTATGTACCTGAATAATAATGCATGTGCGTGTATATCAATAAAGGTCCATCATCTTCTTCTTCTTGTTACAGCTCGGCACACATTATTTTTCTTTTAACCCTTGTGCCCTCCTCGGGCATTTTTGTACATTTTTCCTGACTTTTTTTTTTGATTTGGTAATCATTTCAGCTGTGTTATAGCTTTTGGCATGGATTTTTGCAAGAAGTCTTCTTTTGAGTCAAATTTTTGAAATCCAATGTCGTTTACTCTTACATGTTTTGTATACTCTCGTGATGCATTTTGCACCCTCTGGACCCCTTCGTGGCAAAAATGTACACGCTCATAAAAACTGCTATTAAATCATCATACATCAATATTTTATTAAACTTTTTCTTTCCATGAATCACTTGAACAACTTCTAACGTGCTCAAAACTACCAAACATCCAATAATTTTCAGGATTTTAACCCTTTAAATGCCTGTTTCATTATTTGAATTATTTAATTTATCTTAAAAAAAAATACAAAAAATGAATTTCTTTCAATATAATAATTAGTAGAGGGATGGAACTTTGGTGGTTATTAGAGTCTTGGATGTGTCAAAGATTAGCAACAAAATTGATTTGACTGCATTATTAATTTTTACGTAGTGTCAGATACTACCTCTGGACACCTTCGTGGCAAAAATGTACACGCCCCAAACAACTGCTATTAAATCATCATACATCAATATTTCTTTCAACTTTTTTTTTCATGAATCACATAAACAACTTCTAATGTACTCAAAACTACCAAACATTCAATCATTGGCAGGATTTTAACCCTTTAAATGCCTGTTTAATTATTTTAATTATTTAATTTCTCTCAAAAATGCCTCATTGACTTCCATTCAGACCACATTTGTTGATCTCACTGCCATTGCAGTATAAAACCATGCATTTTGTAATGTCAGCATTTCATTTAGAAGAAAAGTAGTGATATTTGATATTTCTACTCTATTCCAACAGATTAAACCATTTTCCCACTGTAGGCCGATGCATGAAATTCTTACATTTTTGCCAGTTATATTATGGAGCCGTGTGACTACCAGGGGGCCCCGAGAGTGGTGTGTGTGTGTGTGTATGTATGTATATGTATGTGTGTGTGTGTGTGCGTGTGTGTGTGTGTATATGTGCGTGTGTGTGTGTGTCATTTCCAGCAGCAGACTAGCAGGTCCTGCAGCATGTGACCTGGTGCTCTCAGGTGATAGAACAACAATTGTTTAGGCCTGTGCACAACCAGCACACACCTCTCCTCCCTCTCCGTGTGTGTGTGTGTGTGTGTGTGTGTGTGTGTGTGAGAATCTGTAAGCATGCACAGATAATTTCATGGGAAAAAAAGGCCATCTTTTGAGGGATGTGTTTGATGTGTCTTTGAAGAGCTGCTTGATTACTCAAAAACAAAAAACAACTGTTAGTGTGTTTATGCACCTGGCTGCCAAAGATAGACATGCAGTTTGACCAAGGGCTTATTTCATTAGTGAGCAGAGAAGGAGAAAGACCTGGAGCAAAGAGAAGGAACTCAAATGATGAAGCTTTTCAGTGCAGAAGAGACTTCAGAAATAATCTTGTAGCCTTCTTCTGCCAGCGAGCTGCAGGACTCATCTGAAGAAGACACAAGGTTCAAGGGGGGGGGGGGGGGGGTCTGACACTGAATGCTCTCTGGAGTCCAGCATTTCTTTGAGTTCCTCTGACCCTTCATCTGAAAGTGGAGAGGACTCTGAGGGTCCAGCCCACCATCCACCACCACGGGGGGCTTTCTTCTCACAATCTGTGAGGACACCCTGGTTTTCCCCAGCTCCTGGGAGAACGACCTCCGTTCTTCTCTGTCCCCTCACTGTGGGCTGGACCTTCAGTGTCCTCTCCACTTTCGGATGAAGGGTCAGAGGAACTCAAAGAAATGCTGGACTCCAGAGAGCATTCAGTGTCAGACTCCAGAGAGCATTCAGTGTCAGACCCCAGCTTGAACCTTGTGTCTTCTTCAGATGAGTCCTGCAGCTCGCTGGCAGAAGAAGGCTGCAAGATTATTTCTGAAGTCTCTTCTGCACTGAAAAGCTTCTTCATTTGAGTTCCTTCTCTTTGCTCCAGGTCTTTCTCCTTCTCTGCTCACTAATGAAATAAGCCCTTGGTCAAACTGCATGTCTATCTTTGGCAGCCAGGTGCATAAACACACTAACAGTTGTTTTTTGTTTTTGAGTAATCAAGCAGCTCTTCAAAGACACATCAAACACATCCCTCAAAAGATGGCCTTTTGTTCCCATGAAATGATCTGTGCATGCTTACAGATTCTCACACACACACACACACACACACACACACACACACACACACACACACACACACGGAGAGGGAGGAGAGGTGTGTGCTGGTTGTGCACAGGCCTAAAAAAATGTTGTTCTATCACCTGAGAGCACCAGGTCACATGCTGCAGGACCTGCTAGTCTGCTGCTGGAAATGACACACACACACCCACACGCACATGTACACACACACACACACACGCACATATACACACACACACACGCACACGCACACACACACACACACACACACACACACACACACCACTCTCGGGGCCCCCTGGTAGTCACACGGCTCCATAATATAACTGGCAAAAATGTAAGAATTTCATGCATCGGCCTACAGTGGGAAAATGGTTTAATCTGTTGGAATAGAGTAGAAATATCACTACTTTTCTTCTAAATGAAATGCTGACATTACAAAATGCATGGTTTTATACTGCAATGGCAGTGAGATCAACAAATGTGGTCTGAATGGAAGTCAATGAGGCATTTTTGAGATAAATGAAATAATGAAAATAATGAAACAGGCATTTAAAGGGTTAAAATCGAAACCGAAAATGGTAGTTTTGAGTACGTTAGAAGTTGTTTATGTGATTCATGAAAAAAAAGTAGAAAAAAATATTGATGTATGATGATTTAATATAAGTTATTATGGGCGTGTACATTTTTGCCACGAAGGTGTCCAGAGGTAGTATCTGACACTACGTAAAAAATAGTAATGCAGTCAAATCAATTTTGTTGCTAATCTTTGACACATCCAAGACTCTAATAACCACCAAAGTTCCATCCCTCTACTAATTATTATATTGAAAAAAA